ATATAATATAGGATAACAATATATTTACACAGACAGATATATATTTATTTTATTTCAGCATTCATCAAATATTTTTATTGATTATTTATTCCTTCAAATGTTTAATTTTTAGGGTGGATCAACACCCGATTTATTGGCAACAACTGGTGAATATTTAAAATTATGGGAAATTATAGATGATGCTGGTGGAAATAATGTAGGGAATACCATTGGAGCAAATCATCATCATATAGGATTCAAACAGCAAAGACTTGTGGAAAGACAAGAATTAAAAAATGTGAATAATTAATATATATATTATATTGTTATTTAATTATTAATTAATATTTTTTATTAATAATATAATTCTTTTTAAATAATCAACATATCTATATCTCATAATTCTTAACAACTATAATAATAATAATAATATTAATAGCAAAAGGCAGACTTCAAAGCACCTTTAACATCATTTGATTGGAATGAAATGGATCCATCATTGGCAGTCACATCTAGTATAGATACAACATGTACTGTATGGAATGTTGAAACAGGTCAAGCAAAAACTCAATTGATAGCTCATGATAAAGAAGTTTATGATGTAGCATTTCTTACAAATGCAACTGATGTTTTTGCTAGTGTTGGAGCTGATGGAAGTGTAAGATTGTTTGATTTAAGGTATGGTAGTTAATGGAAGATTATGGATCAGTTGTATTAATATTGCTAATGATTTTACTATTATCATTTAATTATCAATTATATCATCAATCATCAAATATCCATTATTAATAATAGAAAACTAGAACATTCTACCATACTTTATGAAGCGTCATCACCTCAAACTACATTATCATCAAAAATGTATAATCCACCAAATAATAATGAACTGCTTCGTTTATGTTTCAATAAAATAGCTCCAACTTACATAGCCACGTTTCATATGGATTCATCAGAAGTCAGAATATTAGATATTAGGTCACCAGGTGCATTAGTGGCAGAGTTGGCTGGTCACAAGGCATCTGTAAATTGTGTTAATTGGTCACCAAATTCATCAAATAGTTTGTGTAGTGGTGGAGATGATTGTCATGTTATTGTATGGGATCTGGGAGATTCGTCACCACCCAAATTTCATCAAGATCCTTATTTGGCTTATAGAGCACCAGCAGAAATAAGTCAATTAAGTTGGAGCACTAAGTGTCCAGAGTGGATAGCTGTAGTATTTGGTGATACTGTACAGGCATTAAGAGTATAAAGAAATTATAATGGTGTGTATAGAAATAATTGGATATTATTATTAAGTATATAGTGCAATGACTATGGTGATTTTTACTATGATGATAATTATTGAAAATTTAAAGTTTTTTTATTTTATTTTATCTTTTCAAAAAAATAATAGTAATATTCCCAAGAAATAAAAAAAGATTTTTTTTAATTATTATGCTCCAAGCCTTAATTGTAAAAAAGGTTTTATTTTTTTTAGTATATACATACATACATACTATAAATAAATTCACTTACTATTACTGTTATCATTATTATTATTATTTTAGTTATATACTAATTTTTTCGTTTACATATTTAATTAAAACATTCTTGTCACTAAAGTTTCCTTTGGCGTTTTCTTCATTTTACAATACACACTCTCTAATATATATTAATATGGAAAAATATTCATGGGTAGTATTTTTTTTTTTTGTAAATAGATTAATATAATTAAATCTTAATTATTTAAAAAATATTAATGTTAATATGCTCTATCCAAAATAATTATTCACGAATGTTGTAAAAAAAGATTCAAGTGATTGGCTCAATGATTTTAACATTGTGTGTCATTTACATAATTTCCGAAAATAAAACCCCATCTATTACAATATAATTTTTATTTATTTATCAAATAAAATAATTATTTTGTCTTTGTGAATCTAATAGATAAATTGTTAAGTTCATAAAATAAATTTTTTTTTGAAAAGAATGCACGTATATTAGTTAACAGAACAGATCTTGTACTGTACTCTTTTAATATATGATATGCTTAATTCTGTAACTGTATTATTAAAAAATTTTTACATGTTGGACGAAGAACTGTAAGCCGCAACTAATTAATTAAATATTAATATAATTAAAAATCACCAGATAAGATGTATATATAAAACATGTCTTTTCACCTTAATAGAAAATGTTTAGAATGTTCCAAAATACATTTTATTATTATTTGTTTAAAAGCTATATAATATTTTGAGTAATTACCAAAATCATTAAAAAATCACAATTTCAGTCATCCAGTAAAAAATAAAATCCACATGTTAACCTGTTGGAAACCTTATCACTAATAAAAGAAATTGTTTAAACCCACCCATCAATAATTAAAAATGTAATTTCTTAAAGAAAATTTTACATAGACTCCCTAGACAAAAGTATTTGATCGCATGTTTACACTAATTAGTAAAATAGACGTTAAGTATGGTATGGTTCGTGCAGATGGTATGGTATGATCTGCACATATATTACAGTATTAAAAATTGATATACCAATACTGTAATCCAACACGCCCCCAAAAGAGGAATTTCGTGTGACTTGGTATAGAAAATAACCATACTTAACCTCCCATTATTGCACAAAATTTACACAATATAAAAAGTCATACTGTGTACTGTACTAAAAAATTTAATTCTAATTTAGTATACACTTGTCATTTATAACTATTAAGTTATCTAACCATTTAAAATCTCACTTCCTGGTTAAAAATATAATAACAAGAACACTTGTTTATCATTGAAAATAATTAAAAACAATTGAATAAAAATTTTAGAACATTGGGTAAATTAATTGTTGGGATGTCTTAAAAATACTCAAATAAGTTATAATTTTAAAAAAATCACAAATTAGATAATTCATTTTTTTAAAGAAAATTTAAAATACCCAAAGCTACTACTCAATTATCTGATTTAAATGTGGAGAAATTATTGGCTAAAAAAGGCCAATTATTCATATAGAGAAATAAATAGCCAAATAGATCCAAAAGTGCAGCTGAAATATATACCATTAAAAATTTATGTCAGGATTATGCATGCAGCCCAAAGTATTTTGACACTGTCATAAAGTGTGTTACACATGTCATAAAGGGTGTTACACTTATATTTTTAATATTGAGTGCTGTAATTAATTTCTACTTTCTACCATCAAAATTGGAATAATTTTGACCATCAAAATCACCAAACCAATTTGGGCTGCATGTGTAGTCAGGATTTAAAAAGAAGGACTATTCAGTTTATTAAAAGAGGAATGGTTTAATATTAGTCCAGAAAGAATTAATAGAGTAATAAATAGTATGCCACAAAGGGTGAATAAAATAAAGGAAACCTGGCAAGATATTGATTTTTTTAACAAAATACAATCAACTTAAAATAGCTTCATATATTTTTTGGTGTCTTTGTTTCAGGGCAGTTTGAGTTGAATTGTTTTGTAATTAGTCAGTAGAGATTCCATAGAACTTTCAATTCTGTACAATATTTTTTTATATCTTTTAATTTTGTATGGAATGGAATTTGTGAATTCTGAAAAGTTGATTGGTGAGGGCAGTCTGTATGATCTTTGATTCCATATTTTTGTTTCATATAGAGCATTTTTTACTACAGAGGTGCAGATGTACAGAATACAGAACCTATATAGACTATTTTGTAATATTTTACCAAATGCTCCAAATTTAGAAGTAACTAGATTTAAGCATGAAATGCATTTTTTACTTGTACCACTAAGGTTGTTAGAACCAGACCCGGACACTTTACCAACACCCACTTTACCGACAGGACACTTTACTGACAGGACACTTTACCGACACCCACTTTACCGACAAGACACTTTACCGACAGGACACTTTACTGACAAGTATTGTGTTAACAGTTTGCCAAGGACTGTGTGAAGACCTGGATAATTAGCTAAAAATTTGGTTTTTTACAACAAGTTAAATCAACCGTTAATTAACTAATAACACCACTTATTACCCTTACTTTGCATCAAAAACAAGTTCATAAAAATACAATATAGATACATGTGTAATATTTTTTTTTTTGTCTGACGAAATTGATAAAAATTGCATATTCATGTTATTTTTTTATTAAATTTATTTATATTATTATTTGGAATATCACAAAAAAATTTTTTAAAAAATAACAAAAAAAAAAATTTTAAAATGAAATATTATGGGCAATGCCCCGAAGAAAATTTATAGTTGATCCAATGTTACAGTCATTTAATACTGTTTGAATCCGTATTTCACAATTACGATCTTGTGGTTTCTGTGGGGGTTGTGGTGTTCCTTGCAAGATCATTTCTACATCAAGTTCGACTTTACTTAGATTGTCGGTAAAGTGTCCTGTCGGTAAAGTGTCTTGTTGGTAAAGTGTCCTGTCAGTGAAGTGTCCTGTCAGTAAAGTGTCCTGTCAGTGAAGTGTCCTGTTGGTGAAGTGTCCTGTTGGTGAAGTGTCCTGTTGGTGAAGTGTCCTGTCAGTAAAGTGTCCTGTCGGTAAAGTGTCTTGTTGGTAAAGTGGGTGTTGGTAAAGTGGGTGTCGGTAAAGTGTCCTGTTGGTAAAGTGGGTGTCGGTAAAGTGTCCCAGACCCAAAAAAAATGCCACGACAACAAAAAAGAAGCAAACAAAATAATGAAGAATTTGAAAGAGGGTAAGTGTTTTAAGGATGGTGGTGGTTATCACCCATCACTCGTCGTCACTCTAGTTATTAGAAAAAGAAATGCTGGTATCCAAAATTTGTTGACATTCTAGTTGCATTTATTTAGATCAAAAAACAATGATGATAAATATTTAAATAAAAATGGAAGCTTAATAACATCTTGTTCGAGACCATTAGTAAGTAAATTACATTCTCATTGAATATTCAAGATTCATATTATTAAAGGAAATTTTTTTATAAAAATTAGAGAACATTTATTCACTCACTTGAAAGTACATTAGAAACAATTAAAGATTCAAATGTGAGTAGCACAAATAAATTTATCAAAAAAAATCATGACAAAATACAAGACATTGAAGATACATTGTATCAGGGTTGGCAAATGTATGGTCCATTGGTGGTCTATTGGTGATCCATTGGTTCCATTATAGCCATATTTAATAATTTATTAATGCAATGGACCAGTCCAAAGTCCATAAACTCTCAATGGACCAGTTAATCTGCCAACCCTGCATTATATGAAGTATCAGATCTAATATATAATAGTAGCTTAGATAATAATGAAATCCATAGTAATTTGGAAGATGATAATATTGACAGCAATGATGAAATAGTAAGTATTTTTTAAAACTCTTTTTTTTTTAACCATTATGAATTAGAAATTTATGTTCAAAATATTCTGTATTGCATAAGCATAAGAATAATGATGATGATCATGAACTATCTACTGATAATGGATGTAAGTGCTGATTTTTACATTAATAAAAAATTATACATTATATTATTAGTAACAACCAGTAAAGAAAGAACTTTGCAGCATAAAAAAACAAAAAACCTCCTTCTTTCAACAGCACAATTTTCTAGATTAGTTAGTAATCAGAATAACATTTTTTTTCATACTGATTATTATTACATGTATATATATCTTGATAAATTAACTTCTTAAAAAAATCACTAAAATATATAGGTTAATGAAATTACTACAAAAATTCATCCACATGTAGCACTTGAATGGGAATCCATAGCAATTCTGGCACTTCAGGAAGGTAATGAATTATTTCATTCTGCTAATTGAACTCATTATATGATAACTTATTTTTATTTTTATTTAATTAGCCTCTGAACAGTATTTGATCGATTTTCTTGAGAAAGCGTATGTTTGTTTGATAGTTTTCAATCTGTAAAAATAATGATCTTGTTAATAGTGATATTAATAAAGCTTTTTTCCCACTATTAATCAGAAATTTATTTACCATTCATGCTAAATGACTTACATTGATGCGAGAGGATTTAGAAATGGTTAAGAAATTGGCATTTAAAGACTTTTTTATTGATTAGTAACATTTAATTCATGAGGGTATGGTTTTACACAGTATTATATATATATATATATATCAAAAAATTATCATGGTATAATATTTATCAATTATTATTATAAACTACAAATTGCTTTTTATTATTATTGAAAACAATAAAATACACTGCTTCATGCTTAACTAATGAGTTAAATATTACCTCTGATTCCATTTGAATTTAAGAATGTTGTGTTTATTGATAACTTTTATAAATATGATAATATATTTAAAGTGCATACATAACTGCATATTTATTGTATAGTGTGAGATCAAAATCCGTATCTCACACAAATCTCTTGGATTTGGTTAAACTACTCTTTTAGTTCGTTTTGTGGCAGTATCCAGCAATGTAATTTTTTGATTACTTTCTTTGCTATAACGTTTGGGTTATTTAATATATTTACACTCTTTGGTGTCTTGGCAGCTAATAGTGCTCTAGCTATTACTCCGTGAGAGGGCAAGTGTTTGACTTCCCTTCCGGTAACGTTTTCTCAGCAGTTGCTATGTTTGCTGCCTGAGCCGGTACGTGTCAATTATTATCTC